TTCTCTCTTTCGCTGCAAGGCTAAGACTACCAGAGCGTTCAATAAAATGACAGCAAGTGAAGCAATGGATATGATGGGAAATAGAATCGCGGGAATTGTTGTTTCTTTTAAATCCCATTTAAAATTGGACGTTTCTGGACAGTGAATTACTGACCTGGTATTCACAAAGCGAGTGGTGTTTGGTTCTGAGTTGGTCACGGCCATGTTGATGCAGAATTCTGGACGCKMTGCGGCGACGATTCATAAGCAAGGAATTTTCCGCGCTTGGTCCGGTAGTGCGATGTTTAATAGTATTACTAGTTGGTAGCTTTTGTGCGATATTTTGTTATGCCTAAGTTCGCTTTATCTGATCAGAGGAAGTACTTGTCTTAGTGACAGAGTGATTGGCTCCACTTGGACAGACATAAATATGAAAAGAAAACAAGAAAACGGAATTTAAAAGAAAGACAGTTAATAGAGCTTTTTCGCATAAAGAATCTTACAAATGCAAATATGCATTTCACGACTTTAGGGATGTAAATGAGATGGCTATTGCACGCCCAGAAGTAAACAGGCGCGATTTTGCTGCATATTTTTTATATTTTTAATTTTTATATTTTTCGCTGCGTTCGCAAATACCTTACGAAACCAGATAAATTTTAAAAGCAAATTGTTGCTTCTCAGATATAGAAGATCTTTACAAAGTCGTTGCAATAAGACTAACGATTCGATCCAACGGTCTTTATTTAAATGGTACCATTGTCGATCGGCTGTTTCTTCTTCGCCACAGGTCTTGGAACAAAGAAATATGGCTTCAGTGAGAAATGTGCACATTTTTCGGTCAGCTCTTTGAAGGTTTTGACATGAAGTAACAGGCCAATTATAATTCAACGGGCGGGGAATTTACATGTCTAATACCATAATGGGTATATTATGACATTAAAGGAGCAAACAAAGATGCCAAGATTTACATTGGAAGGTCCACGACCGAGCGCAATCTTCTGTTTTGCGCTCATACACTCTGCATGGGTTGCGTAACCAAAGCGTAACTATGATGCCACGGGCATCGTAATTATTTGATTGAAACCAATTTTAAACTCAGATAGAGTGGCTTTCAATTGAGTGTCGAAAGTAATCAGACAATTACTTTGGTTTTGGTTTTGGTTTTTATATTACGTTTTGAATAGTCTAATTGGTAACTAATTGGTTTGGTTCTGGTTTTACGACACTCAATTCAAAACCGCTCTAATGGATCAATTAAGCCAAAAGTAATTATGGAAATAAACAGTATAATCCTTTTGTCTCTGAAAAGAGCGGAAATCATTTACCTGGAAGTACGCTTTCTGTTGCAAGGACGCACAAGGTTTATGCATCTGTTTCCATTTCCGCGGTAGCGAAAAGAAGCTAAAAGCGTAAGTAGTTAAGTGCGTTATGGCTGATGAGATTAGCAAACTACTCAAATATTAAGTTATGTTAGAAACTCAATGCATTTCCGTTGAAAATCGGGTCATGAATATTAAGTAATAAAGAAAACGAGATGGCGACCTTTGTTGCTGAGAATAGTGGAGTGGTGAAAAGAAGCCAATGATAAGCTTAAAAGTGTTTAAAACCAAACGTTTTTCATCCGTGAATTTAATATTTCATGTTTGCCTAATCTACTTTTGCCTGACGCAGCGTTCATTTCTTAAATAAATTGGCTCTTAAATATGGCTTTGTATTAAGCACAGATACTAGTAAGTGCTAGACTTTTTTAAGAAACTGATGCAAACCATAAATGCAATCAATTTACTGCCAGACTGCTGGATAATGTAAGCAGTAAGCTAAACTGGCAACAATCAAAGATAAGAAGAGAACATTGATTTTGATGCCTTCAGTTAGCTCGAGTTTGTCTGATTTCATTAGCCAAGGTTTGAACCTCCTTCATAGTAAATCTACTAGTTATTCCTTGTGAATTAATTTATAACATTCAACGTCTCGAGTTTCCATTCGCAAACATCCAGATTGCTGTTAGATATATTATGAGAAAACCAAGTCAAAATATACATCTCATATCTCCTGTGCAACTTCCTTGATTTAAACCCAAATCTGGGTATGTCACATGATATCACTGAACCCCTTGCAGCTGATTATAATCTATACTGTATAATTTTACAATCAATCTTCCTTTCACAGTGCAAACTCACAAGCTCCTAAGATTTAAAAAGGTGCACTTATCTTTTGGGAACTGTTTGGAAGTGCTGTACAATCTCTTGAAATTTTCAGTAAGTAACTGCAAATCTTTGGCTGATCGAAAATCCTTGAAAAATAAGTTATCAAAAATGTTTGCCGCTCTTAGCTTACTTGCTCGCTGCTTTTCCACACCCTGTAGAGGGGGGACTCCATGTGAAAAGGTTGGGGATGCTTTTGTCACTTAGTAAAGCCCTCGCTGATTGGCTGAAAGTCTTTTGCTTAC